AAAAAATGTATCTCGAAGCATGTTTCCGTCATTCTAGCGATTGCTGATTTATTTGAAGCTTGTCTCCTCCAGGCTTCCTGCATTCTGTGCGGAGTATGTATACAAACCTTGCTGGCTCTTTTAAGTCTGTGTTACGGCAATATGAGGATATGGTGTGGGCGATTGTATCAAGAAAAAAGGATAAAGTGGGTTTCACTTGTATCTTCAAATCTGGGGATGTACCAACTCCATAGTCTGACAGTGGAAGTTGCAATGATTACTATGGAAGAGGATTCTTGACAAGGTAGCCTCTTTGAGGGCTCTCGGACAATAGAACCGAATTGCGAAAACAAAGTCAAACCACGTCTAAAAGTATTCACCTTATTTATCCCAATCACCTACTATTTGTGTGCATTATGAAAAGCCTTTTTCACCTTGTCCCTTTCCTTTGAAAGGACCTTCAAATGGAGCTGAATGCACTGGCGACTGCCGCTGAACTGATGACGGACACTCGCGGCCGAGGGCCCGACAACCCTCATGCTCAGGTCAACTGTGACCTGCAGAACAGGCTGGTCCGCCTACAGGACAAGGTGGCTGAGATCAGGTGAGCTATGGCAAGCATATGTTGTTAGCCTTTTTCAGTCCATACTCTGCTCATTGACCATGCGGCCTGGAGCATACTGTGCCCCGTTGGTAGGCTGAGCCTTCCTTTCGATCTTTTCGATTGCTCTTCCGCACAACCCGGCCTTTTATTTATCATTCTGTCTGGACCCCAAGCTGTCCTCTACCATAACTAACTCAACAAGGCCCATAGCTCCCTCGATAATTGAAGCTGTACTCACCCTAGGTCGCAGTAGTTGATGTAAGATGGATAGTTGAATCTTCTGACAATCGGGTGAGCCCCTTACTATCCGAAAGGTATTCTCATCCAAACTTTTCTCAGAGCACAGTTTTGTTGTGGAAGTGTCGGTGAAGCAGACTAGTGGCGGTGTTTCGTGGTGGAAACATGTCGAAATTACGCACTGCCCTACTCGGACTCGATTCCCTTTGGAGGCGCTGATGAGATTTAGGCGAGGTCGAAACTACGATTCACTCTGTATCGGAATACCTTTTTACGTAGCAAGGCTGTGCGAAATGCAATGGCATTGGGAGGCTTATTCATATGATCGTGGAAGATGCAACTCTTAGTAAAGTTCTGATGGTGGTGCAGAATTCTTGTGATGCCGATTCACACAATACGGGAGGCTAAAACAGCACGGACTTCAACTGTTGCCAGGAGCTTGATCAGACCTTTCGGCAACCTGTCAGTCTGGCCACCAAATCTGTCAGCTTTCTAAAACTAGTTGCCAGAGTAACAGTTCAACTCATCAGCAAAAATGATCCAGACTGACAAGTCAGGATAGCATGATTGGGATCAAAAAGACCCCAATACCCAAGCAATGGATAGGCTGTCGCCAGAATTGGACTCGAGCCAGCGATCCTAGGTCTGCGACTTATACCCTGTTCTTGGGTTATCCTAACAGCATAAAATATGTAATTTCGGTACCAGGAATTTGTTTGAAATACGAGATAAGAAAAAGTGCTTAGTCAACTGACACATCTTCTTTGTCCTCTTTATTACAATCTGTCTCCCGGAGTAACTCGGCTGCTGGCCTGATTGCTGCCAGTTTCCGTCAGTTGTGAGAACGACCTATGGACGACTACCGCTAACGATAGGAACTGAACTAATAAAGTCGTAGTTGAATCCAGCTTTCTGGCGATACGTGCTCATGATCCACTTTAATGCCTTAGTTTGTGCTCTAGCATGAGCTCTAATTGCATCAATCCTCATGTGCCTACACTTTCATGAAGCATCCGAATGCACTGTCCATCAGTTCCACCAAAGAAACTTGACCTCGATCGGCCTCCAGTCCCCAGTGAGCCGTTCTGTTCGAGAGGATGTACCTTCATTGCAATATCAACGAAAAAAGTGATCATGACAACGCAGTCTCTTGGCAGCTTGCGTCCTTTGGCATTTTAGTTTGGAGACCGGTCCCTAACGATGACGCAATCACCCTCTAGGGCAAGAGAGTAGGATGAAATCGGAATCATTTAAAACACACCGGAAATGAGAGGTGCCAAATATTGTTGTGGAAACTTTCATTTCGTATTAAAGTGCATGATGAATTATGCATTGGTTGACCTAACCAGAAGACGTGACTTGGTCTTAGCTTGGGACTTTTGCAACAATGAGTTCCGGCTTTGGGGATGTCCGTCATATAGTGGACTAAAGTTCAATCCGGTTTCATCCGAAACGAGGGTGGATGTCTAGTGTACTGTGTCAACTGAACGTCATAGTTAAGCCAAACGGCTACAAAACAACCAAAGTCGGCCGTCGTCTTCGGAATCGATAAATTAACGAACCACTTCATCACGAACATTCGAGTGAAATGAAAGGCGTAACAACAATGATTTATCAAAACCTAGCTACTCTTCGTATTCACAATCAATGTGTATGAGCGCAATTTTTTCCGAGTGGATCTGTTCTAGACCTCCTTGGGCCCGCTTTCTGGACAGCCATTTTTATTGTCATTTAATATGGCTAGAAGTTTTATCTTTAACAAAAAGTTGGTCCAAAGGGGTTCTTAGCCCACAAAATGTATCTCTGAGGTATCCGTCCTCCCATGACAGACATCTTCATGGTGAGAGGCGTCATTTACCTAAAATGCACTAATAAACTAAACCAACCAAGGAGTATTGGTTCTTTTTTCGTAACTGACGACTTCTCGCCTTGACTATGCCTGTCACGAAAGGACAAAAGAAAGTTCATTAG